CCTTACTAGTAGCTCAGGGGCGGCCAACGGGACTTGTGCTTCCAGAAACAGTGTCAAGAGAGTCCATGCTGAGCCTGATCCTGGCATCACATCAGAAAGACGGCACAGCCAGGGCAGCGGCACGTACCATCGGCATCCAGCAAGGGGAGGTTCAGACACCACCGAGAGGATATCACTGGCCAGGCCAAGTAACCTGCGACAGCGCTCTGCGTTTGGTTGCTGTCCTCAGGTGCAATTGCTGACTGCAGTGGAGCCATCTGTTCACTGCAGAGCTCAGAAGCGCATGTGAATTTGGGGCCAAGCACATCCGTTTGCCCTGTAACCACAGCCTTGTTGCCCAGACACAAGGCCAGTGGCACAAGCAGTATAGATCTGCCAGTGCGCTCCTTGGGCCTTGGATCTGGTCTGGTTTCTTTGTGCTGCTTTGGTGGCACAAAGAAGCCCTCAAAGTGCCCTGCCGGGGCTGCTGAGGATTCCCTGGGAGTGAATGAGACACAAGTGGGATAGAGCCAATGGAGCTGGCTCCATACCACACCCCTTCCTGACTCCAGCATGGGGGATACCAAGGAAGTGGCCAGCCGGAGAGGGACGTATATGGACAACTGCTATTCCCACCTTGTTTATCAGGCATTGGGGTATAGCAGCCCGGGGGCTGCAGTGAATTGCACCTGAGGTTGACCCAGTCCCTCCTGGCCCCACGATTGGGGGAACATGAAGCTGCTATAAAGCCATTCCCCCTGCTCTGGGTCCTGTGCTGAGCATGGCCGTGTGCACCAAGGGGATCCCACCTGCCCCTCCACACTGCAATCATTGCTGAGTGACTCCTCTGGGACTCTTCCCCTTCTTGTGCCCTTGCATAGACCCAGGCAGGCTTTAGCACTCTCGGGCTCCCATGGAGAGAAGAATGGCTGATTCCAAATCTTATCAGACTTCCAAGCAGGAGAGATGATCTGTTTCAAGCTAGGGGCTAAGAATAATAGCAGAGAAAAGAAGTTATTCCTAGCAAGGGAACGTCTGCTTTCAATTTCAACAGCCTAACACAATATGCAATGCCTGGACCCAATTGGAGAGCTGTGGAGAAGGGATATTAGCAGCTAATACAGCCTCTGTTTCTCAAATCCTTGAATCCCCGCAGTCCTATTTTGGCAGTGTTTTAGAATGATCCACTTTGGGGGTTTATACCTCATCCGTCTGAATAATCTAAAGCATGGTTCAGGTCAGAAAATCTCTGTACCATCCCAGAGTGGTCCTGTTTCTCAGCTCAGTAACCCCAGGCTGGTTAATATTCTGAAAACCACTCCTGTTATCAACTGTGAGTCTCGTTCTAAAGTGCATTCACAGAAAGACCATTCGAACCATTAACGTCAATCTTGCTATTCTTTTCATTATTAACTGTTGCCATCCTAATTACAGTGTGTTCTGCCAGCTTAATACAGGAAATTCAAACAATTTCTCATTCTTATGCGTTGCTTCTAGTCGGCAGTGATAAAAGCAGGTCTCGGGCTGATTGCAGGATTTATTCCACAATTTAATGTGGAGTTTGAAATCGACTAACAGATGGTATTGCCACTGTTTTCTCCTTTCCCCAAAGAATGGGAAAGAACAAACACTTGACATTTCCAATATGTCTTCATCCAACGCTAGAGTTTAGGAAGCCTTGAAAGAATGTTAGCTGTGTTTCACTGGAGAGATGGACATGATGGCTAATGGGGAGCAACTGCATTTCCTGGCTGGTTAAAGCACAGTGCTGTCCCGTTTGCAGGCTTATGAAAACAGACACATGGCAATGCTGATGCGTGCCCCATCCGTGCTCCTCTCCCTCCCTCCTTCTTTTTTCTGCACACGAATGCTGTGTACTGTAAGGGGTCATGCGAGGCTGGAGCTGTTTCAATATGGAGAGAATAGTGACTTCATTAGAGGAATTAGCCAAGGCTGCTAAAGTACCTAGAAATCAGTTCACATTTACAAATGTACAGCTGATGCATCTTTTGGCAGACAATTTCTGCAGTCGGTAATTTGCCACTCATCAGGGATTGCCTGTTAAATCCCCATGCTCCAGGATGCGCGGAGGATGACATAGAAAGATAAATGAAGACTTGGCTGCAAGCTACTGTTTTATGAATCCTCCATCCGGTATGGAATGAGACTGCTTCCATCCACAACCCCTACACATAAAAGATACCTCTTTATTTCGTTCATCAGGAAGCCACCTTGCTCCTCTTCAGTGTGGATGGACTACACTCTGATTCAGTCCTCACTGCTAGGGACTCTGTTTAACACCCCAAAGACTGTCTCACAATAAGATCTGACCTTTAGCTTCATCTTTACACAACGTTAGTGTGCATTTCATGGCAGATTGAGAGCCCTGGAGTCCAAAAGCTTCAGTTTAGCCACGTAAACAATATAGTTATACAAAGATCTCCTCTAACGGCCCTCCCTCCTAACTGGGAGAAACCCCCAAAAGGACCGAAAGGTGAACTCACTGTGCAAAGAAGAGCAGCTGCTCTTACGTAACAAGGACACCCCGCTGGATCCACTAGATTTACCTAGAAACCATTAGTTGGTGACAGCTTTCATTTGTTACCAGGCCAGTCCAGTCCTCTCCTTAGGGGTGAAAGGTCTCAGATTGATCTGCCCCCTTCCCCATAACATCCAACCATCTAAAAATCTCCACAGGACCTGCCAATTTAGAGCAATAAGAACTGGTTTCCAATCCAATATATGGATTCACTGAAAGGAAATTTAGAAAAAGGCCAACTCTCCTTTCCAAGAACTGTCTACAAACAGCATCATTTGATCCACTGGAGCAGAGGTGAGCAACCTCTGACCCTCAGGCATCCCATTGGGGTTCCACGTGCGGCCTGTGCACCCCTTTTCTGCCCCGTCCCCCCATGCCTCTCATGCCCGGGGGGCCCCTGCACTTACCTGCCCCAGAGCTTGAATGCTGCAAATCAGCTGATTCACAGTGTTCAAGCTAGATAGAGAGGGGGAGGAGCAGAGATGCACTTTGGAGGGGAGAGGCGGAAGAGGTCAGGCAGGGATTTGATATTGTAAAGGAAGTGTAAATGTTTCTTTTTTATTATAGTTGAAGTGGATGACAGTGTTATTAATAGACAAATGGTTAAAGCATTTCCGCTTGTATTGAAATAGTCAGCGCGCCCTGTATTAATGTATGTAATCCTAGTCTTGGGGTCATGCTTAGTGCTCACAGCTGGTTTCAATCTTGCGGCCCACTGAAACGAAGGAGGGCCACTCATGTGGCTCGCTCAGTAGCCTTGGTTGCCCATCGCTGCCTTAGAGCCATTTTCTTGGGAACGCATTGTTCATGTTGGCCAACAAACTTGTATCCGCTAAGCCTCAGCCCATTGTGATTGATACACTGCGGTGACCCACAACCCAGAGAGCTGGGGATGAAAATGCAGTGCCGTCGCAATTGTGTGCTGTGTGCAAACGTGTTGCCCTGGATGGTAGGGGCACGATTTACTGCCGCAGCGTCTGGACAGGTCTCCTGCTCTGTCGATGATGAGAACCAGAACGCAGCTTGCGGCTGTGCTCAATGATGTGGGCCCAATGACCACCGCAGACTCCGAGAGGCCACAGATCAGAGAAGGACTGAAGGCTCCCGGCCAGGTTTATTGTTAAGTGAAGTACAGTCACAGTTGTCATATTTGACTGCACCGAATCACTACACATGTACTTATAACAATGGCCTCAGCACAACTAGTGAGAAACTCCCACTGCTCCCCAGCTGGACAAAGACTGTCCCCCCAAAACACCACTTTACATACAGGTACAAACAAGTTAGTCATCGCGCTGCCTAGATACCACCCGCCATCCTGTGCCTCGTGATCTGCTTAGATCATCTCTATCCATCATGCTGTCATTTTAGACCCGTTTCTGAACCTGTGTCTGTGTCTGTGGGGAGTGTGGGTCCCAAGGTCTTTTTTAATGAGCTGGTGGTGCCGTGTGCTTTCAACTTACGACCAGCACCAATGTTTTGCGGTCGGTACCTAGCACCAATTACTGGTCTACACCTGGGCCTATTACCAATTAGTATTTTGCTCCCTCAGCCCTGTTTGTGCTGAGTTCTGTGAGCAGCAGCCTTGCCTCTTGCTCACAGCTTAGCTTTGCTTTATGGTAGGCATGTTTTGTTCATTGTTAGCTAGGCCTCAGGCCTCACACCAGGCCTGTGTACATGGGCCTTTGTTTCAGGCCCTCATATTACTACACCCTGTAAAGTTCCCCACATGCTGCTGGAGGGACAGATTAAAGGTAAATGCGTGTTTTAGTGTGAGTGTAAGGAATTGAGCGGCGCAGAGTTTCAGAACAGACTGAATGTTATTGGAAAACTGATCATGATCAGTGCAAAAGTGTGAGAATTGCATTTGAAAACCAAAGGATGGGGGAAGGGCTTGTCCCTAATTGAACAATCCCAATGCTCAGTTCCAGTCAAGGAGATGCAGTGCGAGTTCACTGGAATGTACATGGGAGAGCAGCGAGGGTTGTTAGGCAGAACAGACAGTAATACAAGCGCTCTGGCTCTTATCAGGCTTGATTCAAGGGCATTTCCTTGATCACTAATTAACACTTCAGGTTGATGATGAATACTGAATAGCTCCAGCCATACCACCGCGGGCTGTGAGCTCATTAGCTTCCCCAGGCTAAGCTGCGCTGGGCGAGAGAGCTCTGAGCAAAGCCAGCATGCTACAGGGAGTGGCACTGGGAATCAAGCCATACAGAATCAATGCCCCCCATGCAGCTAACGGGACTTAGGTGCTGTCTCTTGGATATGCGATGTAAAAGAGATGCTGTAGACATGGACATCCCTGTAGATGGAGGCACCCAGTTGTGTTGAATAAACTAAATATCAAATGCTCTGGTAGACCATTTGTTGTTTTTTTCTGTAACAGACTAACTCCCTACCCCCGAAACAAAATATGGTTTTCTGTCTCTGGCCTCGTCACACCGTTTATTTTAACGTTCCCTCTCTCCTGCCACAGGAAACCTCTTATTTGCCAGCGGTTAACGTGCTACCCAGCGCAGACAGCGCTAGTGGTGAGATGCATCTCATGACGATTTGGCTCTCCAGCTGTGGACAAGTAGCCACATGTGGTCAGCACAGTGGACGCTTCCCAGACACTGTCTTGACAGCAGCCAGCACCTACCATGCCCTTGTTACCTGGCTGCTCTCCCTGGTGAGTTACACAGCGTGATGTGCTTCAGAAGCGGGCTCCCCACATTTTGTTCACCAGCAAACATCAAGGCAGGAGCAAAAATGTATCATAAGAACATAACAGAAGAGCGGCCAGCCTGGGTCAGCCCAAAGGCCCATCTAGCCCAGTGTCCTGTCTGCCCACAGTGGCCAATGCCAGATGCCCCAAGGGAGGGGACACAACAGGGAATCCTCACATGATCCCTACCGTCTCCCACTAGAGACACCGTTCCTACCCATCCTGGCTTATAGCCATTGATGCCATCATCCTCTTAACACTTCTCCTTCCTCCAACACTGCAAACAATGGCCGAGCCAGACATGCCCCGATGGAGCTCAGCTTGAAGCCATGGGAGAGATTCCCATTGAGGTCAGCAGATTTAAAACAAACAATCTAGCCCAGTGTCCTGTTTCCCCGCAGTGGCCAATGCCAGATGCCCCAGAGGAAGTGAGCAGAACAGGTAACCATCAAGTGATCCCTCTCCTGTCACCCATTTCCAGCCTCTGACAAACAGGGAAGGGACACCATTCCTGCCCATTCTGGCTAATAACTATTGATGGACCTAACCTCCATGAATTTATCTAGCTCTTTTTTGAACCCAGTTCAAGTCCTGGTCTTCACAACATCCCCTGGAAAGGAGTTCCACAGGTTGACTTTGCGCTATGTGAAGAAAAACTTGTTTGTTTTAAACCTGCTCCCTATTCATTTCTCTTGTTAATTGCCCCTCTTCTGTTCTTTCCCTTGGAAGCACCTGGCATTGGCCACTGTCAGAAGACAGGACATGGGGCTAGCTGGACCCAAGAAGCCTGTTCTTCTGTTCTTATTTCCCTGGTTGACAGGGCTCCTTTTAGTCTCCTTCCCACCGTGAATAGCGGGATCTCTCATTGCAGACCATGTGCTGAATTCATCATACCTCAGCAGGACTTCCTGAGCCTTACAGCTCTTGTCTTGGCCAATAAGGCGTTTATGAGTCCAGAGCTCAGTCTTTGGAAATAAGATGCTATTCTTGGTACCTGGTGTTCATTATCAGGCTGGCATTATAGCCTTCCCATTTCAGATTAAATCTGTACGTTAAAAAATAGAATGTATCCCTGTGCAACAAAAAATACAGTCTGTTTTTATAAAAAACCCAGCCTCTGTCTAAGTAAAACTGGAGAGTGCCTGATGCACTGTGGCTATGACTGATCATTATGGGGAATATGAAGGCTTATTAAAGAACTTTGTGCTAGCTCCTTATAATGACATAATCACTTGGCATTGATTTTGAGCAGAGATTCTATTGATCTCATTATCGTTAATAAAGGCAGTGGAGAGCGCTGCTGTGGGCTCGGAGCCTGCAGCACAGTTTTGACAGGGACTCTCCATTCTCATTTCTGGCTAAGCGAGGGAGTCCATACAAGCAAAACGTCTCTTGCTCTTGCAGAGCTGGGTGCAGAGCTTGCAGATTATTGGGGTCCTTCCTGGGAAGATAAATCCTCTGACCTATCACCGCCTACATATCATTCCTATTTAATTTGGCCTTGATTCAGTTACTGTTGGCTAACCTGTGGCTATTCAGTTAATCCCGCGAGGCTACGCCCAGCGTTACTCAGCACAGGCTGTCTCCACTCAAGGGAAGCAGAGTGAGATCAAGGGCCATTGTCAGTCCCTGTCTGAAAAGGCTCTCGTGCAGCTGTGAGTAACATGAAAGCATCTGTTCCTGTGAATTTACAGGTCTCTCCCTTGAAAGTGAAAGGTGGCCCCAGCGTTCCATTTCAGGTGCTGGGTCTACAGCAGGTGTGGCGGGAGGATGGGCTGGCGCTCTACGCTTGCCTGATTCCAACAGACGACTCTCCAGCGCAGAACCCCACCAAAATCCGGAAGCACAAAGTGAGTGGCAACATTTTGATAAGTCCATTACCTCAAAATGCCGTGGACGTGTCCTGGTGTTATTTATTAAGAGCTAGATTTGACTGTCCTGACTCCAGCTGAGAGCGGGGAGCCAGCCTAGTTTAGAACAGCCCTGAGGCTGCTCTAAATCACACCAGGAGCAGCCATCTTAGGAGGGAGGGAACAGACAGGTGACTTACAGCCACTCTGCTCCTCTCATCTGTGCTGCTTTGAAACCTGCAGCTCAGAACCCAGTCCCATACATCAATGACTCTTTGCCTGTTTGCTGCAGATGAGTTGCCCAGTGGAGAGATCTTTCCCCAGCGATCAAATAGGGAAAACGTGCTTGACATGCAGGGTGGTTTTGTGGTTGTATTTTTACTATGTGAAAATGTTGCTTCGGAGAGGGCATATTGCCTTGCTGTTCAGTTCCCAGGCCTTGGAGTCCAAAGTCCTGCCTTGTCCCTGCTCAGTTCAATGGGAGGTGGGGATCTAGTCCCTGAGCTGTTTTCTTGCTGCATGATGTAGCCAGGAATGTCTGGGAAACACACTGCTCCATGGTGTCCCAGGGCACCTGTCTCCGGAAAGACACCTGTTTGAATGAATGTTCTACAGGGAATCCCTGCTGAGACACTGGCCTGGCCCTTTGCTACCGTGGCAGGGACTGGTGGCTTTCTGTGGCACAAGCAGGTCTGAAGATGGGGTAGCTGGCCAGAGGGGATGCTCCCATTTAGGGGCTACTGATGCGGCCAGGGAAAAGGAGGTGTGGCTGGATCCTGGCAATCCCTAGCAGCCACCATAAGCCATGAACAACCCTCCTGCTGTTCTGACTTGCACCGGAGAGCCAGCCTGGCACATCGTCACCTCCAGATCAAAGGAGGGGAGGTGCAGATGTGCGTCGAAAACCCCCTTTGCACTGCTGCCGCTTAGCTGTGGGGGGTGCGCCTCGGTCACAGCAGAGGAGCCGGCTGCCTGTGAGCGGGAAGGACTCAGTTTCCCATGCTGGCTCTGAGCTAAGCTTCGCAGATACGCGATCAATGCTGACAACTAATGTCATGCAGAAGAGACAGCAACAGCCCTCTTAGCGGTGCCTGGGCATTTGTAGCGGGAAGCAGCCTGGAGAGCCAGCAGAGGCAGCCCGCTGCACAAGGCATTACCCTCTTTCTGCCTTAGGCCACTGGATCCAAAGTAAACAGTTGGAAATGCAAGCAAATGGGCGGTGAGGAGACTCCCCCAGCCCCGTGCCTGGCCTGGATGCTCTCTGCTCACCCAGCCCCCGAGCCGATCAGAGCATCGACACCGAGCAAACTCAAAATGCCATCTGGGGGTCACATAATTGCACGTGTTTTGCAGGCTCCAGGCCCGGCCTGCGCTGAACATTTGGTGGGGTCAGGGACGGGGGGTGATTTTATCCCACATTGGCCGGGCGTGCTGCATAGTGCTTCCTTCCCCGAAATAAACCCTGGAGCAGGCCTGCCACCCTGCTTGCATGCGCTGCCGCTGCTGCCCCGCTCAGCCAATGCACACAGCAGTGAACACGTGAGCCCGTCGAACCCTGTTCTTGAAACTGGGCCTGTCACAGCTGATGTTTCCTCTTCTCATTAGAGGCTCCAACGTATGCCATCCCAGCAACACTGACCTTTGTTATTCCTGCTTTCTCCAGACACTTGTACAGCTGCTCTTCCGTCCCTTGTCAACCATGTAAGCTGATGGGAACCAAGACAATGAAAACAAAAGCAACTCTCTGCTGCCTCTCTTATTGTTCTCCTTATCAGCCACAGCTATTGCTGGAGAGAAAGCTGGCAGGTTTCACTGTTCAGACTCGCTCGCTAGTCTCATGCTGCAGTGCTAACGTGTCGTCTTTTACCTGGCAACATGAGAAAACAATATTCCTCTGTTGTGATTCTTACCATTCCCCATTCTCGCCGTTTCTTACGGAAACAATGACAGTCAGTCACCGGGGCTTAGCTTAATTTGCTGTGCAAAATCTCATAGTCATTCTCCTGGCCAGGAAAAGAACTTGGTTCCCCGTAACACAGCTTGTCTTTGTTGGTTGTGAGATTCGAGGGCAATGTGAGTTGTCACCTTTTTTTAGATCATCTACAAACAGGCACAGAAGGTCATGGTCAAAATTAAAGTCTAGCACCCTGACAGCTTGCCATTTTAATGTCCGTGGCTTGAGTAATCCGTAGTTCATGCGTTAGCGACAGGGCTGCAGACTGTTAGATACGACTTAGTATCCCTATGTTGCCAAGGAGGAAATGTCGGTCTTCCTGTGTGTTGGGCTCCTGAGGCCATTGCAGTAGTGTCTGATTCCTATCGAGTCAGCCGGAGTGGACTGCAATGTTTTGTTTTCTTTCATGCAGATAGTGCTGATGAAAGGCAGTGGATTGCTAGTCCTGGAAGCTGAGGACCTAGTTCAACCCACACAGCAAATGTAGCGGGGTGACCAGCTGCCCAGGAGTGACATGGTGGGACATCTTGTAGGTTGAGTGAGACATTCTGTCCCATTGGGCCTTGCATTTCCTGTCACTTTGGCTTGATTGCCAGCTGTGGTGGCCGAGTCTTTGAGTCACCAGGTGACTGCTCCTTTAAGACGGCTCAGGGCCCAGTCTACCTATGATGGTCTTCTTCAAGGAGAACAAGCCCCTCTTGGCCCATCTGTAGTATAATTACCTGCCTCGGAGGCTGCTAATGGGCACCTGGCCTGATAAAAGGCTGCCAGAGCTCTGTTGAGAGGGTTGTTCCTGGAGGGCGGAGAAAGAAGAGAGAGGTGCTCCCAGACCCACACGGAACTGCCAAACTTGCTCTGGGCAGGGATGGAAGGGCTGAATTATTAACATGGGTCCCAGGAGGAGGGCTGTGGGACTCTTGCACTTAGGAGAGTGGGCCTGAAAAAGCCATTATCATCCAATGGCCTCCGTGAAACGAACAGGGTGTTTCAGGCCGGTTCACAGTGGCCCAACGTCCACCTCTGCAATCAGCGCTAGCTACCATTATTATAAGTGCGGCAGGGCATCACCCTCAAGCAAGCCTCTTGCAGGGAGGACGTTGGGCCACTGTGAACCGGCCTGAAACATCCTGTTTGTTTCACAGAGGCCATTGGACGATAATGGCTTTTTCAGGCACTACCAAGTTGGGGTGAGCAACCCAGAGAGGACAAACTGTCCATTCCAATCTCCTGAGCCTTCTGCTTTCTGCTTGCTGGGCATTTCATAGGCAGCCACAGGTCTTTTGTTGTTAACCACATTTTATTTCTCTAGCCCAAGGTCTAACGGTTTCTGAATAAAAATACAACAACAGGCTCCTTGAGGAAGGAACTGCTGTCTTAGACAGATCCGCCTTTCGGTCGCTCAACCATGACAGCATCCTTTGTTAGGAAATCTAGTCTGTAAATCAAGCAGATCTTCAAAATATATCCCCCTCTGCCATCTGCTTGGGTAGCTTTTGGGGGGCCAGTTCCTGTCCCCCTTCCAAAGAAGGAATTGAAACTCGACAGGTGTACCCATTCCCATCACAGATCAGGGCCCTGGAGTTGTCAGATTCAGCGATGACACATTTATCTCTTGCAACCTTTGCATCTTGATAAAGCGGATTCATTTAGAAGTGTGTCTGATGGGAATGAGATTTTTATGACACGTGCTCTTTAAGAATTTAAACTGTGTTTCCAGTTAGTCAGGCTTCCATTAAAAAAAGCAGTCTGGTTATTTCCTATACACTTGCTAACACTAAACCATTTTGTGGTGCATGAAAATAACTTCCGGGGAGTCATTGAACGAGTTGTGGACTTAGTCTGAAACCTTTGCAGCTTGTGCTTTTGTTTGAAGGTACCTGAACAGATGCAAGAGAGAAGGTATCTAATATATAAAGGAGAATGTTTGTATGTTTGTGCTCTAATAACTTGGACACTATAAGAGCTACCGCAACCAAACTTTCCCTGGGATAACCTTTCCTCCAGGAGAAGGTTTTAAGGTACATTTGGACCCCATCAGGCCCGACTTCAACCGGTAAAAATCAAAAATAGCCTGCCACACTGTGGGGCAGGGGCAGCCCTGCCCACCCTGGGTCACATGGCTGCCACCTGCGGCCCCCAGCGCCGTCCAGGACTCGCCCCACCCCCATGCGCACAACGGCTCAGGCACCTGCCCTGCCCCCCGTGGCTACGGTTATCAGGTAGTCTTAAAAAAAAAAACGGACACGCTTGATCAAGGATGGGGGGGGAGGAACTGTCCGGGAGGGGAGCACGGCTGGCTGGGAGGAAGGGGTGGGGCTGGGAAGCAGAGCTGGCCGGGGTGGGGAGAGTGGGGCTGACCAGGGAAGATCACGGGGGGCAGCTGGGGGGAAGCAGAGCTGGGCGGGGGGAGGACGGGAGCGGGGGAGATCGGGAGGAGGAGAACTGGCCAGCAGGAAGCAGGGCTGGCGGGAAGCGAATTGGCCGGCGGCAAGCGGGACTGAGCAACGCCAGATAACTCCAGCTCATTTTTCATAACCATTAATCCTGATCATTTACAAACTGGACCCTAACTGGTAAACTCTTCTCTCTAGTTATTGAGAACCACATTGGAGGAACAAGTGGGTTTAGAGTGGGAACAAAAGATATCTGTAACTTTCCAACAGTGCAGAATGAAGTTGGGTTGCAGTGATTTTCATAACAATCTTATTAAAAAATCAAATGAATAGCACAGTTCAGACAGTAAAATAGCCTCGTGAAAGGTTTCTCAAGTGAATATTATACAGCATTAGACTGATTGATGCTCCCTTTAATGAAATAGTTTCCTCTCTGCTTCAGAAAGGCAGAATCTGGTTATAATTAAGCAGTGCACCTTCACAAAGATTTATACAATGCAATCACCCCCGGGCTGCAGAACAAGTGGCCAAAAGAAAGTTAGTGGTCACCCTTGGTTATAGAACACTCTGAGATTCATAGCATCGCCCTTTGGCCAGAACGACTGAAATGATTGGCTTGGTTAGCTATAAAGCTTTATTATGGAGAGCAGCCTTGGCGTTAACTTCGATTGGCTGTAAAGTCTAGGTATAAAACAACTGAAGCATGCTATCAATCACATCCCGCTCCCAGCCTTTTGGGCATCCGTGCCACTTCAGCAGGTGAAAAACTCGGCTACGCCTGCCTGGGCCCTCTTCATCTCCCTTCCTCTGGAGCTCGCAACCTCCTCTGTACCTTCATGCTGAACTGAGGTCTCCCCTCCATGCTAGGCCCAGCCCACCTGCTCCCATTCAGTTGTACCGCATTTATTTGCTAGGCTGGTTTGGGCAGAGAGAGCTAAATGAAGGACAATTTGTTATTCAAATGAGCTGAGGTGGGGGCAGGTTGACAGGTGATGGGAAGATAGCCAGCCAGGTTTCAGTGGCAAAGCTGGAAGTATAATTGCTGGTCTGCACTGGGAACAGTGGTAAATTCTCTCTTCCTCTCCCACTTACCTCCAGTCATGCACCATGTGTATGAAATGCTTCTTGGAAAGAAAATGTGCTGCTTTCTTGCAGTGCACTGTTAACTTGAATCAAATGTCATTGGTTGTAGGCTAAGGACGACCTTCGAGGAACATCCATTTTTTACCAGCAGATCTCTACCTACCTGTCGCATACATGGCTGTCAAGTGTTATCTGGTGGCACGGAGAACTGACCAGTCACCTCCAGAGCCAGCTATACCCACTCCTTCCAGAGATTCCCGTTGTACGGCTCAGCTGCATCACCGCTGTTAACCCTGACCCTAAGGTACTGCCTGTGAGCTGTGCGTTTCTGTCCTCTACCATGACTAGGGCCAGTAACCAGTGTCGGCTTCATCCCATTAGTAATCTTTTCCTGTGCTCGAGGGAGAGGGGGGCTTAGGGTCTGTTTCTAAGCCTTACTTAGTACAAGTTGGGCCTCTCTGGTCCAGCACGCTCTGGACCTGATGGGTGCCAAATCCAAGCATTAGCCAAAGCATGGACAGGTCTATTTTGTAACGAGTACGTCTCTTTATTTTTATTTCGCCGAGGCAAATAAATGGAATGCTTGCAATGCTGCTTAATAATGTATGCCTGTATTGATGCATCCTACGCCTAGCCAAGGCTGATCAGCTCTCTTCATAACAATGTGTTAGTGTTGTTACACAATCGTACTGTGTTGGCTCAAGGAAATAAGTGGAAAAGTGGGACAAAACCGCTTATCTTCAGCGGCATTATTAACACTTCCACTGCTTGCTGGGCTCTGAGAAGACATTTAGGGGTAACTGAGAGCTAAAGAACACCTCAGAACACCGAGAGCCAGGAGTAAGCAAACTTGACAGGACAGCGGGAAACTTGGGCCCACTCATGCTAAGTGAACATCCAGCTAATTCAAATCCTGCCGGACCACGGATGTTGCCCAGACTGGAGAGTGCCGGACTAGAGAGGTTCAGCCTGTATTCATAACTCCCACTGCAGTATTAACACAAAAACGGCCATATGGGCTAGATCAAAGGTCCAGCTAGCCCAGTATCCTGGCTGCCGACAGTGGCCAATGCCACGTGTTTCAGAGGCGTGAACAGACCAGGTAACCATCAAGTGATCCATCTCCTGTCACCTATTCCCAGCATTTGACAAACAGAGATTAGGGATGGCTCAGAGCCTGGCTTTGCATCCCTGTCCACCCTGGCTAATGGCCATTGATGGACCTGTGCTTGGGTCAGTGAGGATTACAAGTGCTCAGCACCTCTTAGGATCAAGCCCTTCGAAATGCCTGAGACTAAACTAACCCTGGGAAGGTGACTCTGCATGTCTAATGGTCCATAAAGATTAACCCGTTCACTGCTGTCCGGATGTCAAGTCTTCCATAATATCCGCTCAAGTGAATGGAATGCGAGAAGCGTTCGTGTGTTTCTGGTTTAATGGACGTGTCTGTTTCCTTTAGGACCTTGGACATGACACAGGACTGGCTTCTCCTATCTAATTGTGAATGGTCATAGATGCATTCCAGGAAGCAATTCTCTGGGACAGATGTTGGTTTCTACAGGACAGCTGTGCTGAGCCTCTTGCTCTCCTAGCATTTCCCCCAACAGGCAGGCAGAATGTGGCTGCCGCATTTGCTGAGTGCCAGGGGCTCCCAGCGCTGCTCAGCCCCTCTGGGTGCTATGCTGTGGAGAAGAGAAGCCAGGATGCTTGCAGAATGGTAAACAACCAGATGGCTACATTGGAGGCAATGGGTGTTTTTTATTTCCTAGTGGTCTAGCAAGACCCCAGTGAATGCACTCCTTCCTCCTTCCCCAGACACCATGCCATCACGCTGCTGCCCAGGCTCTTCACCTTGTCTGCTGGGTGGGTTCCCACCCATTGCCTTCCTGTACTTCAGCAGCCTCTGTCAGTCATCTTGTTTTCCCATCATTCCCAGGTCACTGTACGCACAGATACACATCCCTGGAATCAGTGGACATGACAGTGTTGTTTTATGACTGAGCCGATTGCTTTGAAACGGATCATAGAATCATAGCACACTAGAACTGGAAGGGACCTCAAGAGGCATCGAGTCCAATCCCCTGCCTTCACGGCAGGACCAAGCACTGTCTAGACCATTCCTGACAGGTGTGTGTCCAAACGGCTCTTAAATATCTGCAGAGATGGAGATTCCACAACCTCCCTAGGCAATTTATTCCAGTGTTTAACCCCCCTGACAGGTAGAAAGTTTTCCTAATGTCCAACCTGAACCTCCCTTGCTGCAGTTTAAGTGCATAGCTTCTTGTCCTATCCTCAGAGGCCAAGGAGAACAATTTTTCTCCCTTCTCCTTGTGACACCCTTCTAGGTACTTGAAAACGGCTATCATGTCCCCTCTCAGTCTTCTCTTTTCTAAACTAAACAAGCCCAATTCTTTCAGCCTTCCTTCATAGCTCATATTCTCTAGACTTTTAATCATTTTTGTTGCTCTTCTCTGGACCTTCTCCAATTTCTCAACAGCTTTCTTGAAATGTGGGGCCCAGAACTTGACACAACACTCCAATTGAGGCCTAACCAGTGCTGAGCAGAGCAGAAGAATGACTTCTCCTGTCTTGCTCACAACACACCTGTTAATGCATCTCAGAATCATGTTTGCTTTTTTTGCAACAGCATCACACTGTTGGCTCTTATTTAGCTTGTGGTCCACCATGACCCCTAGATCCTTTTCTGCAGTACTCCTTCCTAGACAGTCACTTCCCATTCTGTATGCGTGAAACTGATTGTTCCTTCCGAAGTGGAGTACTTAGCATTTGTCCTTATTAAACTTCATCCTATTTACCTCAGACCATTTCTCCAATTTGTCTAGATCATTTTGAATTTTGACCCTATCCTCCAAAGCAGTTGCAACCCCTCCCAGCTTGGTATCATCTGCAAACTTAATAAGCAACTCCTCTATGCCAATATCTAAATCATTGATGAAGATATTGAAAATGCAGTACTATGCCTCTTGCAGAATTCAAATCAGATTCAGGGGTTAGTAGTTATGCCACACAAATCAAGGCAATGAAGAGTTAGGCGCTAAGATAGCACTTACAGTTTTGTCCATATTATATTCTACCTCCTTGACTGAAAAGGCAGCTTCTCTTTCATTGATGCAAAGAAAAAGTGACTTCAACCACTGACACGTACTGAAAAGTTACCCCGTATATTTGTACAGGATAAATCTGGTGCTTATTTGTAAGGCATCGAATGAAGCCTCATTTCAGTCAGGCAAAGCTTTTATGCCTATCCCTTATTAGGGGAATTATAAATCATTAGAAATTGAACAGCCAGGCAGCAAACCCATTTTCTGTGTGAGGAATCTATCTCAGCTTCGCCTGCTTAGAAGAAATTAAATCAGATAAAAGGCCAGATTTTCCCTTCAATTTCAGGTGCTTAGCACCTCCTTGGATCACTCCCTTAATGATGCAAAGGCCACATCACATCATGGCCCTTTAACCAGACCAACCCACTCTTAATAGGTGTAGCTTTCAGTTACAGAACATTTTGATCTCTATAAGCTAGCTGAAAATGGCCTGATTCTCCGCTGACGGAGATGGGTGCCACAGTGGCCTCATGCTGATTGACACCAGCTGACAGTCTATCCCAAAGCCAGCACCATGGCCATTTACATGTGACAGTGCAAGCTGTAGTCATACAATCATCCAATCCCAGATCTGGAATCCCGATATCCACGAGTTTTCAAAGATAATGGCCAAAGGCTCTACAATGACATTTGCCAACTCCCTCAGTAGCCTCGGATGCATTAAATCCGGACTCGTGGATTTGTGTATGTCCAGCTTTTCTAAATAGCTCTTAATAGTCAGCCTTGTCAGCTTGAAAACTCTGGTGTAGGATCAGTGATTGTGATTATTTATCATTCATATCGTGGTGGGGCCCAGAGTCCCAGCTAGCTTGGAGCCCTGTGGCGCCAGGTGTTGGACAGATGGTTAATGAACACATAGCTCTGTCCCGGGGAGCTCCCGGTGTAAGAGACAAGATGCAAAATGATGGGTGAAAGAAAGGTGCGGACAGGAGGGGGGGAAAGAGGAAGATGGGGTGAAAATGTCATAGGATGCCTTATGCCAGCGTAGCTCTGTGCACAGGGTAACCAGTCAGTAGCGTTAATCTTTATATACCTGCTTTGTCAGAGAGAGAGGGCGAGCCAACATTTACTTTTCAGTCAGTTGGTCCAGTAGTTTCTCAGCAGATTCTGAATCCTAAAATAGATCTCTTTGCCCTTGTTGCCTTCCTTTGAAAGCCTCCGTTATTAATGCTATACATACTTTCTATCGATCCACAGCATTTCATTTTGGCTATCCAGAGCTAACTCCCAAGGGGATCATTAAATCCCCAGGTTGGGTTCAGAGTGATATAATCCTTGTGCAGGTTAGCAATTAGTGTTCCACGTCAGCAGAAAGAGGAGTGCTTCCTTTTACTATAAAATACAACTGTAAATGCACCTTCATATTAACCCTTGAGATGCCGTGTATTTGTCCTGATAACTTCCTTCTGTTCTCCTCTTCCTCCGCTCCCTAGCATCTCTATCAGTGCCCTGCGCACTAGAGGGCAGGCCCTCTCATGCTCCCTGTCAGCTTTTTCTTCACCGTCCTGCACAGAGCCACCCTGGGTGCCCAACCTGTGCTGGTTGCCACCTGTTGGGGGGAATCGGGAAGGTGGATTGTGTCAGGAGCAAATGCCGAGGGAGAGTGAGGGGTCTTGCTGGTGTTGGGGAGATGGATCGGGACTTGCTTAGCTCAGCCTCACTTGCCCATGGATGGAATGCATCTAGTGTCTTCCACAGAGCCCTGGAAGTTAGCTAGTTCCTGGCTGACTTCCCCCAGCAAGTTGAGTCGTTTCCTAAGGGTTGTTTCGTTTTTCATGTACAGTTCTAATTGGTCCTACGCAAAACTCCCATTGGTCATGTCTGGAGTTTTGGGCCCAAATTCTCCTGGGAGCAATTCCATTAGCGCTGAGGGTGCGTGTTGGCCAAAATATAATACAACTTCATACGGGGTAAGGAGAGCACTTAGGGGCTATATGAAGACTGAAGGCATATCACCAAAGGCACACAAAATTCACTGCTGTCGTGTCTCCCCTCTCTGTTCATAGAGGCTATGTCTACACTTTCACCCTCTTTTGAGAGAGGGATACAAATGCAGACATTGGAAATTGCAAATGAAACCGGGATTTAAATATCCCGCACTTCATTTGCATACTCGCATTATGGCGCTATTTCGAAATAACAGACGCTGTTAAGACGCGGTTATTTCAAGAGAGGGGTTTTC